CGCCGCCGCCGCGCAGACCAGCTCCGGAGGCGGCGGTGGCGGCGGCGGCGACAGCTCGGCCGCCGCCGCCGCGTTGAGCAGCCAGTTTTGCGCAAAGGGGCGCTCGGCCGCCTGGAAGCAGCGCGCGGGGGGCGGCGGCGGCGGCGGCCCGAAGAGGAAGGGCTCGTGCAGCAGCGCGCCGTGCGGGTGGTGCGGATGGTGGTGGTGCGGGTGGGGGTGGCCCTGGTAGCCCCCGACCACGTTCATGGCGGCGGCGGCGCGCCCGACCGCCGGCGCTACGAAGCCATGGGCGGCGAGCGGGTTCCGCCCCGAGGCGCGTCCACACGTGCCCGCCGAGCTGCCTCCAGCGCTGCCCGCCTCGCTCCGCCTCTCCGCCTGCCGTGCGCCTCAGCCCTTCTCCGCGGCCAGCCCCTCGCTCGGCCTTTATACAGCGGCGGGGCCTTTGATGTCGCGCTGCCGAGGGGAGGGGAGTGGGGGGCGGGCGGCGGGGAGCGCGCGGCGCGCACGCAAGCCGGCGGCCCGGAGGGGAGGGGAGGGGAGCCCGTCGGTGGGCCGGCCTGGCCCGCCCCCCCCCCGGCCCTCCCAGATGTTCGGGCACAGGCGCCGCAGTGCTGGGGAAGAGGCGCGGGTTCTGACCTGCGCTCCCCGCCCGGCCCCCCGCCGCCCCGGCTTCTCCAGCGCGGTGCGCCTGTCCGTCCAGCGCTCCCATGCTCCACCCTTCCCTTTGCGCCCGAGGTCCGCAGCGAGGCGCAGCGCAAACGGACGCGGGGTTACTTGCAAGCGAGAAGCCCCTGGAGACCAGGGGGGCTTGCTCCCAGCGAGGCTGACCCCCCTGGATTCCAGGCTTGGAGGATCAGGAGGCTGCGCCGCTTTCGCGCAACCTCCAGCCCCGCGGGTGGTGGGATTCCCAGCTCTCGTGGCCGCGGCCGGCTGGGCGATGGGTCGGGAATGCCGGGAATTGTGGTCCAAAACATTTGGAGGGCAGGAAGGCTCGCGCGGAGCAGACCTGCCCGGGGCAGCCTTTTGCTTCGAGGAAAGCCCCCGGTGCTGCGAGGAGCTTCGTCCCGGGTGCGCTTGCCTGGGCCTGCAACCCAGTCCCGGCGAACGCAGGGCGACCTCCTTTCGGGAGGCGCAGGGCCGGGGCGATGCCGCAGCCCCAGGCCCGCATCCGGTTCTTGTCCAAGTTTAACTTTAACCCGAGTTTAGTGGCTTGAGAGGGGAGATCCCTTTGCACGCCTTGCTCGCAGGGTATCGAATGGCAGTGCCCCGAGGAAGCTGCCCCAGAGGAAGCGCATCTAGAGGCACCGCGGCGATGCGGCTTGGCGGAGCGAGCGGCGCCGCTTGCAACACGAGCCCCGACGGGGCAGCCGCCGCCTCCGCAGAGACGCGGCCCTCGCAGCCCGGCGCGTCCGGCGCTTGCTCGGAAGACTCGTCTCTCGGCGAGTGACGAATGGTCCGGCCATGAGGCCAGGAAGCAAAAGGCGAGAGCCGCCCTCTGAAATGCCGATCAGAAGTGTGCTTCCTCGAGGGAAAGCCTCGTTGAACTTGCTTCTTTCTGGGGATGCGTCTTACCAGTCTGAATCCTCTACACGCGTATCCCAAAGGCAGTCTCTTTGGGCTAGATCCAGAATTCACTATGAGTAGCCCCATGGAAATCAATGGCACTCCACTTAAGCCCCGTTGAGTTCAATAGGTCTACTGTAAAAATGATTACTTCTGAGTGGAGTTCAATCAATCTTACTGCCAGGTAGGTAGGTCTGCGATTGTAGGTTAAAATGTCAACATTACGGATATGGAAAGACTTTGCTTACACGCACGTATCCATACGGAGTCGTACGTATGATACTGTTGCTCGATCTTTGCCCATTAGATTTTATTTTTGCGCTCCCTTTTTTATACTGTTTTCAGCTTTCCTGAAATTCAATTTTCAGGGTGGGTGGTATATGAGTATCTTCTACTTACACTTATTTATTTTAAAGAAATTAATTTGATAGCTCAGGACAATTAGATCCGTTGCTTTCGAATGCAATTGAAGTCTTTCCGCCCAAACCCTTGTTTCTATTGGCCGCGTTGAAAACCTTACTGCTACAAACCACTCCGGCAAAGAGTCTGTCGAGAACGTCGCTTAGCTCAGCTTGCACTGTTTGGTGGGGCTTGCGCAGGAGAACTTGCAGTAGGCAAACTTAGTCTGGAAGCGGCTGAAGGTGAAAGAGCCGCCGGCTGCCTCGCATTCCTTGTGATGCCCGCGCACCTACTTCCCTCCGCACCTACTTCTTAGAGAAAAGCAAGAACCTCTTAGACCCTGGGGAGCGAGGAGACCACCCTCGGGGGCTTTCTTCGTTTCTGAGGGCTCAACCTCGGCCCCGCCAGGCTTTCTAGGTTCAGCCACTGCGTGGGGCCCTGGATTGATGGTTTGCATCCGAGCTGTTCGGAAATCCACTTTTCGAGCCCAGCCCGGCAGCTGCGCGGAGCAAAAGACAGAAACTCCAGGGACGGGCAGGGCACAGTCCAGCCCAGGTCAAGCAGTTTCCCCGTCTGGTCGATTTCCCTGGGAGAAGAAGAATCGCAGTCCAATCTCTGAAAAGCCTCTCCCCTAAAACCCGACGGCTCCGGAGGCTGCCTCGCTTGAAGCAAGTGGGGGCACGTTCCCGGAAGGGGGCTCGGGGCTGGGACTGCGCAAGTGGCTGGATCAGGCCCGTGGCGAGCGATCGAGTTGGGATCGCCGACAGGGAAGGGGGAAAATGGGCTTCTAGGGAGGAAACCCTTGGTCTAACTGAAGCCGCACTCCTTTTCAATGGGTCTACTCGAAGTAAGACTATATTGGCTGCGTCCCGTGGAAGCCCGAAGCAGGAGCGGCTAACCCGTGTGTGGGCTGCGGGAGGCGGGGCTGTGGAGCGAAGCCTGGTCCCTAGACCATTTTTAAAAAATTCTGCACTGTTTGGAGCAGCGGAGCGATGCGTGGAGAGCTGGCCGGGGCACAATTGCGTTCGTGCGTGCCTTAATTCCCTCCTCTCAGTCTTCTGCACGTGCTTGCTGTTCCTCGAGGTTTTGGAAAACAAGATGTTGGCTTTTGCTTATCCTTGCTAATGTTTTCCACACACACACACATACATACCCCGAAGAGGTGGAAGCAGAGGAAGAAGGAAACAGGGGCCGGGGAAGGACCCAATCAATTCACCCTCTGTGGACCGCATCGCTGGCATGTGTAAGTTGATCCTCCTGCTTGGATTTCTCCCTCCGCCCCATTTGTTGGCTTGCCATATTTTAAGAGGTATGGAAACTGGGAATCTTCTGTCTGTCTGTCTTTCGCTCCACCTTCAAGCCGGCTAACAGCCTTCTGGAATCTGCTTCGAAGGGAATAGGATGAATGGCCTTTCGAAGGTGTCTGGGCAGCCAAAATGTGTGTTGTTTCTTAGGCAGGCAAGACACCGCAATTCTGTTTCCAAGAAGGGCCAGCCAGAGGTTTGGATTATTTATTATTATTTTATTTAAACTATTTGTCTACCACGCTTTGTCAATAGCTCGAGATTCCTTTACAGTAAGAAAGAAAAGGAAAGCCAATATAAAACCAGTGCAAAAATATTCAGGACATAAAAGCATTACACCAACCGGAAAACCAGAGTGTGCAGAAAGTACACTATTCTAAAAAAAAAAAAAAACTATACTAAAAAAGAAAGCGTAGATAGGAATTTAGGGATAGGTAATGCGAGCTGATTTGCAGTAGGTCTGCAAGAATTTTCATGTCTCAACTATTTAACAAGTAACAACAAAGTGACCTTCCTCACCTAGATGAGGATGCTGCAATGAAGGGAACAAGGCCGTGTTCCGGTGTGACAGGAAGTTAGGGACTGTTCCGGGACTGGAGGAAACTGCCTGGGCTCACCATGTGTTTAGAGACACCCTGATGATGTCAGCAGCGCCCACCAAAGCTAATGCCGGGATAGGGCAGCAAGCTAGGCATGCTGCGTCTGGGGGGGAAAGGCCCACGGCTTCCTACACGATGGGCGTTGTAGGATATTTTTCTGCCCACATAGGTTTGTGCCCCAAATGTCTTAGTCTTTAACGTGCTACAAGTCTCTTGGCTGTTGTTGTTGCAAGACTAAAACCATTAAGTTTGGGGGATTTAATTTCAAGCCTTTTGCACCTGGCTTGGCTGGTGGATCTTGGATCTTGACGAACATAACGAAGTAGATCTGACCACCCAGAAGCCTATCCACTGATGTATTAGCAACCCGTAAATCATGAAGGCAAAGACTTTTGTCTCCTGTAGCGGTGTTTAAAAAAGACCATATACTGTTTCTATCCATGCTTTGTCTAGAACCTTGATTTGTCTAGAACCATTTGCCAAAGAAACTGATGGGTCACCACAACCCGAGCCTGGCAGGGTGGAGGATTTCCTTTCACCAGTGCTTGGTCTGCAGCATTGTAGGGAGCTGTGGACACACACCCCATTCATCTATAAACCCCAATCTCGGCTGCTGCTCCTCTCTCAAGGCTTCCCCCACCCACAGAGCCACGCTTCCTGCCCCCCAAAGCCAATCTCGAACCAGCATGTGCATAAGGAGAACTGTAGTTCAACAGGTATAGGCCTCCAGGCTAAGGCTTAGGGAAGGCTGCCATAAAGCAGTTCCTTTATGTTCGGGCGAAGTAGAGGGCGATGGCTTCAGTGGGTGAGCAAAGGCAAGAACCGTGGGGGGGGGGGGGGGTGCAAAGCATGGTGCCTGGTTTGGCAAAAGATCAGGGGGACGCGTTCTTCTCTTTCTCCCGCAATGGCAGAACACAACGAACGGGCTCATCCCACGACGCTGGAGGGGGCCCCTCTTCACGCAATTCAGAGGTAAGCTGTGAGAGCCACTTGCAGAGGTAGCGGCGGGCACCAGTTTGGGTGGAAACTGGACAATTGTTTGAAGAATAAGCAGGGTGCCCGTGTGCACGAGCTGCTGGGGAGCATGGGCAGGAGGGGCAGCTGCACTCCCGCCTGTTTGTGGGCAGCTGCTTGCACCCGTGTGAACAGGATGCTGGACCAGAAGGACACTTGCTCTGATCCAGCACGGCTCTTATTTGATCTTAAAAGCATCAAGCGAAAAGGAACAGGAGCGTTGTGTTGCTTCCTTAGATCTCAGCAGATCTGCCACTCTCCTGGAAGGAGATTTCTTCAGCAGCGCATTTCATGCAGCTCGCTAGATTGTCTCCGCCCCTGCCCCAGGGAGACTGCCAGGGGGTGCGGAGAAGCAGGCAGGCAGATG